CCACGGCACCATGATTTGAACAATATGGGAGCTTATGGAAAGAGAAAGTATCACTAGCAATTATACAATTGATATAGGACTAATACCTAAAATATATAAATAACTAAAAAGGCTGCTCATCAAGAAAAGAAAGAACCTAATTAAAAATGTGTATGATCTAGACAGAATGTTCTCAAAATATAAAACACAATTGGCTGAAAAATATTTAAAGAAAATTTCAACAGCTTTAGACATCAGGAAAATGAAAATTAAAACCTCTGTGAGATTTAATCTTACACCAATCAGAATGACCAAAACCAATAAAATAAATATCTTATGTGGGTGATAAGGTAGTATAAGGGGAACACTCACCCATTGTTGGAGAGTGCTAACTTTAATAGCCATTATGGAAACACGTGTGACGATTCTTCAGGAAAATGGAACTAGATGCACTTCAAGATTCAGCTACACACTTTTGGGCATATAGGTGCCCTACTACATAGACACCTGCTCAGCAATGTTATTGCTATTCTACTCATAATAGCCAGAAATTGAAAACAGCCTAGATTCCAATCAAAAGATGAATGGATAATGAAAATATGGTACATTTACACAATCAAATATCACTCAGCTTTTAGTTCACAAAATTTTCAAGTAAATGGGTAGAACTAGGAAAACAATCATTTTGAATGATGTAACCCAGACGCCCCCAAACAAGTATAGTATGTATTTGCTTAAATGTGGATATTAGCTTTTAAGTCTTCAATAGGCTTCCCACAATGTTTACACCTACAGAAGTTCAGAATAAGGTAGTGGACTAGGGTAGAGAGATATTTTCCTGAGTAGGGGAGAAATAGAATAGATAGTAAAAGAGACAAGGTGAGGGTGGAACAGGAGGATTAAACAGAAAGTAGGAGGGCTGAGAGGCTAAGAGGGGATATAGGGAGAGAAATCTACTACAGAAGAGTCTTAATATATACATACATGCATCTGTGTGTGCACATGTGTGTGTGTGTGTGTGTGTGTAAAAATGAAAGCTAAATGAAATTACCAAATAACAGGGAGACAAAGCACCAACTAGACATCCGTTACCAACAAAGGAAGCCACCAGTTCCAAGAATGGATGTCATCTGAGTTGTTGGCCAAAGTGCCCTATGGAAATACTCAAACAACTCAGGCAGTTTCCTAGTTTTTAAGGCTATTGGTTGCTCTCCACAGACTGATGGTAGCACACTGTTGTTGAAGACAATACTTAAACATCCCATTAAAAATGGAGAAGTCAAGCTGTTGCCTAACTAGAGTTTTCACCCTATCGGCTAGTGTTCATGGTACAGGAAGGTACTCTGAAGATTACAAGAGGAGAGAGATAAACACAGCTCTAATACTTTGATCTTCAATGGTGACCTGCCTAAATGATACACTAGTGCAACAATGTCACAAATGATATTGGACCATCTACAAATGGAATTAAGGCCCACTCAATGAGAAGGAACCTATGCTTCATACTTCTCTGGTGGCCAAAGACCTGAGACTAGATAGGTCATAGACCTGAGGAGAACCCAAATATTATTGTTCTCCTAAAGATATGTATCAATATAATGACTTCTAATGACTTTCTGCTATAGCCATAGATCAATGTCTTGTTCAGACATTGTTAGGGAAGCATCCCCTTGTAGTATATGGAAATAAACAGAGAGACCTACAACTCCACAACTGGAAAATGTACAGAAAATGAGAACACCCAGTGCTAAAGGGAATGTTTCCATTGAACTTCTTCCCTCAAAATGCAAGTAATTTTACAGAAGAGAAAGCAGAAAGACTGTAAGAGCCCGTGGACATGGAAAACAGTAAGGAAATAATGCCGTTTAGAACCAATAAGACTGATTTACATGAGAACTCATAGAAGTAGTGGCAACATGCACAAGGCCTGCAGAGATATAATAGATCTAATACAGATAGAGTTTCATTTCTGATAGAGAGAAATGGGCATGATCCTCATATCTGAACAAGATGTTTCCAATTGACAAGTCTCACAGAAAATTTGGTTTTCTCCAGCAGAGTCTGACTGTGTATACAAACCACACTTGAAGGCAATCTCATGCCCAGAAGTAGATGGCAAACTCAAATAAACTCAAAAGTATTTTTAGAGATTTTTCTTCTCTCATGATTCTCTATCTGGCCATTGTTTACCATATTTGTCACTTTCTTGTATGTGACAGTTTTGAATTTTATATTTTTATAAATTTTTTTTGTATGTGCATGTGTCTTTGCATATGTATGTGCTTCTCATATTTTTTATTTGGTTGTGCTGTTTCTGTTTCTTTTGTTCTATTCTGATTTGTTTGTTTATTTGCTTATTTTCTAAAAAGAGAGAGAAGATGTGGAGTTATATGTGTGGGGAGGTGGGGAGCGTCTGACAGGAGATGAGGAAGCAAAACTCTGATCAAAATATATTACACGAAACATATATTTTCAATAAATAAAAGGAATAGCAGTTGTACAACCTGAGTCTTTTTTGCTCCAAGTGTCCATGCTACACAGATTGGAGCTCTTGTTTCTTGTTAGTAGACAGACTGGACCATATTCTTTCCAGACCCGACATACATAGCTGGAAATGGTAGATTTTACAAAAGATGAGGTTCCTGCAGATAAGAGGTGGAGACACAAGCCTAATCCCTGGCTGCAGGATACCTCCTGGCTCTAGACAATGATATAGGCCCAAGATGAGGAAGGATTCACTTTTTGGATTGAACTTCCTTGAAGAACTGCTGTGGTCTGTGATACCACAGGAGGCTATGTTGCTGTTAGTGGTCCAGTCTGCTGCCCCAGACTGCAACAAAGCCTGAGATCCATGTGGACACATGCAGTCTGTACAACTGCTCGATACCTTGGTAATGTCCCCGGGATTTACGCCCTTGCAGAGCCATGTTGATGTAAGCAGTATGTGTAAACCACCTGAGACCATGTTGAGGTTCATCATCTATGCAGTCGCTGAGGGCCATGAGTCAGTCACTGGTCCTGATACACCCACAGTCAGTGCTATGTCTTCACCCATGTTACCACCTAAGACTGTGCTGCTTCAAGCCATGTTAATGTCCAAGGGTATGGGAGGAGCTGGCCCCACCCCTTAGTGGCTGTCACACAGAGGCACTAGCTATGTATGATGAAGATCTGGCACTATATCTCATTGGCCCACAGCACTGCAGTATGAGAGTGGGGGCAGGGAATGGGAAAACTAGCTCCAAAGACCTCATGACTCTCTTCAGATGATAGCTTCTAGCATGGATGCAGGAGGAAGATTCAGTCTCCCTTTGGGGTATGGCCACTAGGAATTTGACCATGCTCCAGTGAAAATATAGCCATACAAAATGGACATTTCCCCCCTTTTGTGGGAGGAGGTCAAGAGGGGAAGGTATGGCTATGAGAAGATTGGGAGGTGAGCATGGTCAGGACACATGCTGTGAGATTCCCAAGTACTAAATTAAAATGAATAATAATAATAAATGTTTATTTTGTGTCTTATCTAGAAAACTTCTAAAACTGCTATCTGGAGGCCTCTAGCTCATTAGTTTACTAAACAAACACTTCCAAGTCAAGATTAATCAGGAATGGAATTAGGACAAAGCTCTATTGAGATCAGTTAGGATCAGATAGGGCACCACCTTTCTCGGCCATGTTTCCATGTTTCAATCTCATCTAATTCTATAGCCATATCCTACCAAGAATTTAGGATTAGGGTGGATGCTATTTGTGAACTCTCCGAGATGATCAAATCAATAATTCTTACTGCAAAGGCTGTCACTCTAGTGACACCATGTCTAGTCATGCTTCCATAAATCTTACTGGCAATTAGGAATTGTTTATTGTCTGGGAAGCTCAGAAAAATCTATATTTTAAAGAAGTGTAGTTACTGTAGGGATGGAAGCTGTATGAATCCCAAGGGATGTCAGTTAATCTGTGAAGCTCTAGAAAGAAAAGGTTTTAGCCAATCCGCTACTGTTTTAGCCACTCAGCTGCAGTTATAAAGGGAAAACGGCAATGGACAGACAATACTTGAATGAGTAAGGATGGTTGGTTTCCAGTTCCTTACAGAAAGAAGTTTTTTCAACGGTGTAACATAATGTGCCAACCCTTGGGGAAAAGCAGTTGTTGAGATTACATTTAATTATTTAATTAAAGGATTTGTCCCGCTATTGTATGATATTTAGGAGGTATCCACTTTTTCTTTTGAAAGCAGTGTTTTAATGAGAAGTTTTGTATATGTATATATATATATGCATATATATAAATATATTTACACAAATATACATATATAAAAATATATATTACTTGTAGATATATAATATAATACAATATAATAATATCTATAATATAATATAATATATCAACATTTGGTAGATCCATTGCTGAAAGCAGAATTGCAATATAAATTGCAAATATGTCTCCATAATTTATAATTCATCTTTTGGTTTTGATCCTTTTTGAAGCAAAATATTTGTTCTATAATACATAATTAAATGTATTATATATTTAAAATGTAAAAACATAATGGAAATGATGTATTAATTTAATAAGATTTGTTTTTCTTGCCTTTTGGTGACTTAATTTATTAAGAATTAGTACTTTTATTAGCTTCGTGTTGTGCAGATTAGCCAGAAGTGTTGTCATTGCTCTTTAAACAAAGGATGGAAACAGTTGCTCTTAGTTTCTCATTTTGGGAAATGACTCGGGACTACTTAATAGGGGTTTATATTTTATGACTTTAGCACAAGCATTTGATAAATGCAGAGTATGTTTTAGTCGTGTGGGCTGATGTTTCTGGGCATTTAACATTCTACAAGTCAGCGTCACATCAGTCTGAATCCATGTGTGTTCTTCTGCAGTGAGATTTTTCTTTTTCCTAATGCATGCTCTGTAATTGGTGGAGAGCTGATGAAGCCACAGTTATGAAAATCCACCTGCAGAGTCTGCCTGTGGTGGGGGCTGTAGCTGCACACCCAGCTGCAGTTTGTGGCTAGGCTCTAGGCTTGCTGGGAGCACTGTGCCCTGGCCGCACAGAGGTAGGTGCCTGAGTCCTCCAGCTGGGCATCCCTGATGTGCAGGGTGCTGTAGCGCTCTTTAGAATTGAATGTTGAATTTAACCTCCCAATCTCCTTTGTTCCTGGAACCAGGTTAAAAAGATTGATGAGGCTGCCCCTGGGATGCTGTCGGAACCACTGCACATATGTCATGGTGGTAGAAAACTTGCATCTCAGAACAGAACTGGTTCCCTCTTGGAGACTGAAGGCCAAAGGACTCTGCTCCACCTCATCTCCTCTCACCCCTGCTTGGAAACAGGAAAAAAAAAAAAGAAACCAGAGTCAAAGAGAGGTTTTCACACACACACCAGTCAAATACCCCCAGGAGACACCCAGAGGAAGAATGCATTTCCCCTCCCACCCCATCCACCACCAACATTATTTCTGGAGAATCCTTAATAGGAACTTAGCCAAGCACAACTCACAGCAAATCTGCATCCACAGAATCCCCAGCACAGCTCCCAGGTTCCTCTCCATGGCCCCTGTCCAATAGCTGGAATGTCTTCTCTCCAGCTCTGTAGAGTGTCAAGCCTTGTGCCAGACAACCTGTGCTTACAGACTACAGGATCTCTCTGAATCACTGAGCTTCCTCATTCATCTGAACACAAAGCTCCACCCACTCCACCTCGTGACTGCATGGCAAGTGCTCCAGGGCTGTGGAAGACATTGATGTAGATCCCAGGGCACTGTGTTTCTAATGTAACAGGTAATATAAGGAGTTTGAGGGAAATGTGTGAGGAAGGGGAATACATTAATGAAGAGTGCTGGTGGGAAAACTAATGGCTCCAGTTGGTAAAGCAGAGCCTTGCAGAAGCCAAGCAAGACTGTTTGACTTTTTGTTGCTCTGAAATTTTTTCATACACTATATTCAGATCATTGTCTCCACTCTTCCATCATGTTCAAGATCTTTCCCTCCTCCTTACCCATTCAATTCTACGGGCTTTCTTTTTCCTTCTATTTAGAAAGCAAGCAAACAGGCAAACAAACAAACAAATAAGAATTTCCTTAAAACAGAATTAAAGTTAAAAATGACAAGAAAGAAAAACATACCACACACACACACACACACACACACACAGAGTCATAAAACACAAGGCAGGTAGCCATAAAATATAGATGAAAGACCAGTATGACAAGAAGAAGAAAAGAAAAAAGGGAAGGAAGGAAGGAAGGAAGAAAAGAAAAGAAAAGAAAAGAAAAGGAAAGAAAAGAAAAGAAAAGGAAAGAAAAGAGGCATTCAAACTAAGCTATGTGACATAACAACACCATTGGATTTGTCCTGTATTAGTCATCTACTGCTGAGCATAGGGCTTGTCCTTAAGTGTGGTTATTGTACCCAATTAGAAAGCCTTGATAGGACTCTTAAATTACACAATGTGACAAGTCAGCATGCAATGTGCTATACAAAATAAAAAGACTTTCTTGCAATTAAATTTTTCATATGAATAGAAAATGTCCTCAACATGGTTTTGTTGTTTCAAGACAAACAAGGCATGTCTATGCTTCCATCCTGATTTATTTTCTAGCTTGTGACTTCTACTTCGTTCTTTTGCTGTGCTCAGCAGGAAAACTCAGCTGATTTAGAACAGGCTATGGATGCTTGGTCAGATTAAATAAGGCCCTTTTCCTTCTTGTTTTTCATGCATTATATTGACCAGATTTTTGATCAAGAAGTGGTTAGTATTTTTCTTTCTAGTTTAGAATGTATACTGTATATATGATATATGATATAAAGAATATTTCAATAATTTTTAGTTCTTTGATGTTATGAATTTTTAGATATAAAACTAAAAAATAAAAAGTAGTGGAGTTTTTTTCTTTTGTGTGTCCATCTTCACAATACAGGAGATTCTATTTTGTTTACATATGTTCAGAGAATTGTCCTTTAAATAGATTTATAGACACATGATATCCAGTGAACAGGCTCTAGATATCTGTGCTTTAATACAGAATGACTGAGTGCTAAAGATCTGGGTAATTACATACCATCATCTCAACTGGTTGCTTTGTGAGTGGATTGCCTTATGTCCTTCTCAGCTCTTCACACCTCAGAGCCTCTTAAGAAACTGTAGTTTCTAGGAACCCTGCAGTGCCCCCTAGTGAACCCAAACAATCAAAGAAAAATAACTTCAGGCTCTCCACAAGCCGCATTAAATCAGCCCTTCGCTTCCTGTTAAAGACAATGCAGAAGTCAGAAGACAAGAGTGTCTAGATGGAGTTCTCAATAGAAGAAATAAAAATGGCTAATAATTATCTCAAAATTGTTCATCAGCCTTAGCAATTAGGGAAATGAAATTTAAACAACTTTGAGGTTTCACCTCACCCCAGTAAAAATATCTAAAATAAAAAAACTGATAACAAATTCTAGTGGTGGGTATAGAGGAAAGGAACCCACATTCATTGTTGGAGGAGGTGAAAACCGGTGGAGCTGCTCTGGATGTTAGTGTGAAAAATCTTCAAAAAATTAAAGATAACTACACCACATGACCCAGCTATGCCACCTCTTGGTATATGTCCAAATAACACTCCATCCTACTCCAGATACTTGCTTAGCTATGTTTGATGCTGTTCCATTCACAGGATCTAGGAAATGGAAACAACCTAATGTCTTTCAACTAGTGAACATAATGAAAATGTGGCACCTATATGTAATAAAATGTCTTCAATGTAAAGAAAAATGGCAGCATATTCTTTGCAAGTAGATGGATGGAACTAGAAATGATTATTTTGAAAGTGTTGATTGAAACCAAAAAAGACAAATGTCATATATTCTACCACTGAACTCCTGTCTCCAGTGGAAACTATAGAGGTTCCTAACTCCAAATCTTCAGATGGAAGTATATAACCTGGTGTAACCACAGAGGCCAGAAAGGTACAAGGAAGCATGTGGTTGGGAGAAGCAATAGATTAGGGAAGGGCAAGACAAGCAAAATTTAATGGAAGAAATAAGAAAAATGAGGGGAGGATATTTGGAAAGAGAAAGGATGTCAATACAGAAGAAGAGAGGAGAAAGATGAAATAACAGTAACCATGTCTTTTTAAAAAGGCATAAGGAATCACATTAATATCTATTTACCTAAAATCACTTAAATTACATAAGCTTTGGTATATGTGCATACATATACACACATAGTTTAAATTAAATGTTTCCATTTGAATTGACAATACTCCCCCAAGAGCCATAGATATTAAAGAAAATCCTCAGTACCAGTTATGGGAATCTCTCATTCAAGTTGGTGGTCATGGAAATAAAATATTATAGACTATTACTCTTTAACCTTGGCTGTATTCCAGAAGTTTTTGTGAGTCTCTATTGCTGATGACACTGCATTTTGAACAAATGATCCAGAGGATCAAAGCTTGATTGACTTGAAATTTACCTCCCTGATGATTAACTTTCTTGGTATCAGAGAGTATCATGCAAGCTTGCAGGGGAGAGAAACAGCCAATTATTCTACTCATATACGATGCCTATAAACTACAATGACCAGTATGGTATGAAAACCTAAGGATATGAGAGTTGTATCTTGGTTGGAATAAACACCTTTCTAATTGGACATAAGAAATAACTCAACAAGAGGGAAAATCATGTGTGGTAGTAGAAACCTAGCCAACTATGCATGGATAGTGAGGTTACATATCTTGGAGTGGAACCTACAGCTCCCATCTTTCTAAACCAGCATAATTCCTAATTACATTCTAAACATCTATCATTTTACCCAGAGATAAGTATAGTCCTCACTCCTCTTCAAACAATCTCTTCTTTTCAAAGAATGTAGATCCATTACAGAAAACTACAGCCAAGAAGAATGAAGAGAACAAAGTGAGCATGTGGTGTTCTGCCTCAATGGATCCACCTACAACACAACTCCTGCAGTCAAGTTCAGCAAACACTGGGGCAGACAGGGCTAGAAGATTTTAAGAGCCAGAGGAACAGGAAGGATTGTGTGAGATCCCATCTCTTAGACATGTCAGGGAATCTATACTCATCAAGTCTCAATAACATGTTTGCCAAAACAAGACCTGAACAAGGATGACACCCATAGACATGCTAAGACAGAAGGGGGAAATCTCACAGAGACTCAACTCTAGACAAAGAACTACAGGTAACTAAGGAGTGCTGACAACAGGGAAAACAGTCCTAGTCAAGGAAGATTAACCCAATTTCTAATTGCAACAATGTGGTCATCCCTGAAATAATATACATAAAATTACATTAAAAAGTATGAGCATGTTGTGTTATATATTTAGGAATCTATATGTAAGAACATTTAGAGGAAAAAGTAGCCAGAGGTCTGGAATTGGTGGTGAGGTGGGAGGGGCTATATTGGAAATGTTGAAGTGAGAAAGGAAAAGGGGAAAATAAAGTGCTTACGTTTCAATTTCATTTAAAAAAAATGTAAAAAGTGGTGCAAGACATTAGTTGTCAATCTAAAGAAGACATAGATTTAGATACATATATTAACATATAATCAAAGAATAAGACCTTGGGAGTGAGCTGATTCCAGGTACATGAAAGACTAATACATGGAAATTTGGGCAAACTTTATGAAGAAGATAGACTGGAGCGAGAAAGAGAGAATGTCAGCAGTCTCTGACCTGCCAATTCTGTGTATTCCCTGCACATACATAGGGTCAGATCATGCACAGAGACATTAATCATTTATTATTTTCTCATTATAAAGGTGTATATTAATGATAAACATTCTGAGAAGTACATTAGGCAAACAATATCCTTCACAGTAGACACAAATAATGTATGATATCTTGATATAACTTTAACCAAGTAAGTAAAAGACATCTATGACAAGAAATTCAAATATTGGGAGAAAGAAATTAAAGAAGATAAAATGAAGTGGGTTGGTCTGATGCTGATTGTATTCTAATCCTAACTACTGGTTCTTCAAGATGTGGGTGCCCTGGATGACCAGATCCTCAAGTACTCAAAGTGATGCCATGTGACGCTTCTCCCAAATTTAACTGGTCAGTAAAAGATTAGATCCTGTGATTGGGCAGTAGAGGGAAAAAGGTGGTACTGGAGGATCGAGTGTGGGAGTAGTTGCAGGTAGAGAGAGGGAGAGAGAGAGAGAGAGAGAGAGAGAGAGAGAGAGAGAGAGAGAGGAAGAAGAAGAAGAAGAAGAAGAAGAAGAAGAAGAAGAAGAAGAAGAACAAGAACAAGAAGAAGAACAAGAAGAAGAACAAGAAGAAGAACAAGAAGAACAAGAAGAACAAGAAGAACAAGAACAAGAAGAACAAGAACAAGAAGAACAACAAGAAGAACAACAAAAGAAGAGGAAGAAGAAAGAAGACAGAGGGAGCCATGATGGGCTAGAACAGCATGGCAAGGAGAAATGGCAAGCAAAAAGGAACTTATATCTGGGGATAAGTTAGTCTAGTCCCAGTTGCCCAATTTAGGCTGATGGCTTGTAGACAAAATAACTGTATTGTTTGTCTTTTATATGGGCTTGTTAGGATTATAAATTCTTTCTACAATGACAGAAGATGGAAAGACTTCCCATACTCATGGACCAGTAAGATTAATATAG